TTTAATTTTTTTCTGACAGTTATTCATCTCTTTAGCTCAAAAAACAGCTGATTTTATTAGGCTTTTTTTTTTTCTTTCAATTCTAATATTACCTGAGACAAACGAATCAGAATTGGTGATACAGTATGCAAAATGCAAAACACATCTATCTCTACGGATTTTCTAAAATTTCATAATTCAGCATAGAAAAGGTTCTAGAGTGCGGAAAAAATCTTGGTGTAATTACACGCATAAAATGACCGAAATGTGGAGTTGGTTTACATCAATATATGCATACAGCAGTCATCAGTTTGGTAAAACGCAGTTTTAATACTACGGCGGTAAAAATTAAATACAAAATTTAAGGTTCTCTAAAATAAGGTGCTGTACAGAACTTGGAATAGGTTCTGGAATTGGTCTCATTTTTGAATCTTTAAGATGTTCAACAGAAGAAACGGCTCCATACAGATCAATTTTAGTGCAAATACTTTTTGATAACGTTGAGATTATTTGTCTTGTATTTAATCCTCATCGGCTTCTTGATGCAATGAATTTGTTTTTATCTGATTGATTTATTTAGTGAAGTGAACACAACTTGTTCTTTGCCTTACGTCATTTCATTAGACAGAATAGAAGAAGAAAACATGGGTTTATAGCAGCGAGTAGTTTCGATTCAACACAGCTGATTCGTAATATAGCAAGATCAGATAGGAGAATAAAAACCAACAGATTCAAATGAAGTAACATGATTTATTGAACAGTTCTACGACCTCTAAGTTATGAGCTCAGTACGCTTCCACTGCGCCACGCTGCTGTCTGATGATCATATTCTCAATTAAATAGAAAAAAAAATGTTATTTATGTTGCAATTCAAATTACAAACCATATTCACAAACATGTTCATATTCCATATCAGTTTCAACATTACTTAATGAACAAATAGTTTTATCTGATATTAAATAAGTTGTTAGTATATAAGTGTAGAATCATTATTCATAACATTCCAATTTATCTGATCGCATATTCCTAAAATATCTTCAATTTCTTCAAATTTATCCCTTTCATCTTCTGAATCTAGATCATCATATTCATATTCATCAACAGCTGTTGTACCATTAGGAAAAATAAAATTTGTCATATTTTGATCTGTATAATTCTCATAGTCATCATAAACATCGTAATCAATATGATCATGAATAAATTTTTGTTTATATTTTATTACTGATTGTTTCATTTTTCGAACGACTCGATATACGAAACCAGTTGCATTTAATTCATTAAGAATTTTTTCTTTTAATTTATAATATCTAATACGTAGTTCATGAAAGAAAGGGGGTAGTTTTGGGGTCAAATCGGCCCCCAAGAAAGCAAAGGTATTTTAACCTGAAACTTTCAGCAATTGTAGGACTCAGAGTTAGTAGTTACTCCTAAAACTTTCAGCTCGATCGGTTGTACTTTTGTACCACATTAGTGCTCTACCAGGAAGACTCTATTGTGCGCTTTAGACATAATAGTGAGAGAGGAGAATCACTTGTTTCTGGAAGGATATTTACCTGTTTTAATAGGCGATTTATATATCATTCGATAGAGAATTAAATTCTAAACAAAACTATATAAATGCCTTTGACAAAAAATTAAAAATTTATTACAAAAAATTTAATACATCGTCTCCTTGGGGTCATATAGAGGGCCTTATGGAATCTTGTGTACCCTCGTTCTCCACCATTTGATTCAGAACCGGAGCCATTTTTTCAGCATCAATATCAATTACCAAGGGCTACTAAAACTACTATAAAAAGAGGTTGCAAAAAACCTGTCTTCTGTCTATTATGTATCACATAGTACCCCAATGTGGTCAAAGTACCATATAAAATATTGTTGACGCTCGCTGCTTTCAAGATCACAGTTGGGGGGAAAACAAACTATTGCATCTTATAGAGCAAGTTCTGCTCTATCGAACTGCCTAGGTCACTATTCTGGTTTATTCCAATTTTCTGATCGAATTTTTCAAACACTTTCATTGGGTACTACTTCGCAAAGTGAAGCAAGAGATCCCAAACAAGTCCGAGAAAAGTTTTTTTAATTCCTAAAGATTCTGATGCAGCTTTTGACGAGGAATCAGCATATGCCATTGGTTTAATGATTCGCGCGACCAATGATGACGTATCATCCATTTTTCGATATTACTGCGATTTTAGTTTTTGCAAAAAAAATGCAAGAATGACAAAAATGCGGTAATAGTATTTCGCCTATATCTCGATGAAAATAGGATCGAGTTCTAAAAATTTTATCATCACAATGATCAATGAGAAAAGCTCTACAAACTCTGAAAGTTTCATTAAATTTGGACGAGTTCGCCGGATTGACTGGTGACTTCCCATAGACACACCCATATTGATATTCTGTTCTTTTTTAGTGAAATGAGTAACATGTACATGTTTGATCAAAACATATGATGGGATATCCTTGTTTTCAACAAAGTAAATACGAATATCTCTATTATAAACTACAGTGATTTACGATTTCAACGAAATTCTTAGATTGATATATACATATATTTTTAAAATATTTCTTAAGAGTAAAGCAACAATCAGCGTCGATTGACATCTATTCATAATTTATTTCGTTAATGTAATGATAGTGTCCAACCAACCAATCCATTTTCTTTTCTATTCTGTCGGCAACTGGGAGTGTTTGAAGTGTGTGAACTGCTTTTTCGCGACAGTCTTTTTTTATTTTTTTCTGAGTGATACACAGTAACCTTCACAAGACTGATAAATATGAACAAAAAAGGGTAGATTTTTGTAAAACATGGTATTATTTTATATAATCAATTTATTATCAAGTAATTATACTGTGCATTGAACTTTATTCATACTTTAGTGTTTCATAGAGTTGGACTGTATCGCAAGGGTTTACCTATTACTATCATCTGGAACCTGAATGTTAATTTTTTTTTCATTGATAAAAATCTTTTGAAAATTCCTATACGAGCAGATAATTGATCAGAAAAACAGTGTTTTGTTTTTCAAGTTTTAGATAATGAGTTTTTCAACTCAATATTCTTCTTTCTTCTTACTATTTTTACAATATGTCGAAGGAATTGGACTGAACATTGGTTGTGGTTTATATGGAATGTTTTTACCTAGTACACTTTTGAAGCAATTATGTCCATGGTTTAGTCAATCAGATGTAATTGACCATCCAGTATTACATATGATGACAAGAATGTTTTGGTAAGCCTTCGCTGTAGACAGAGAGAAAAAAATTTTGATTCTATCTTTTACTATAAAACTTCATTTGAATTTAAATTATTTAATTTCACTAGTATTCTCTTCTTTATCTTCAGTACCGTGCTGATTCTTTTGGGTATGATTGAATATTTATTAATAAGGTATTGTACTACATCAATATCTCCTTCTGCTGACAATGGTTCAACCAAAACATATATTTTAAAAATATTTATCTTATGCTTTACAATTGCAGATCTTGTTCATGTAGTTGCATTTTTAAATTATCAGTTGGTATATGGTTCAATATTAGATTCAAGTTCCATTGGAAATATATACCTACTCTTTGGTTTTTTTGTAGCTAGAATCATATTTTTATGGTTGAATTATCAAAATGAGAACCAAACAAAACAAAGAAAGAAAAAATAATATCGTTCGTTCATCACATATCTACTAAAACAACAAATATTAAACATTCTATTAATCAAACTAATCTTTTTTTTTTATTTATAAAACCTATTTCTCTTAATCTTTTAGTTTGTCGTTACTCAATAATATTCTAACATAAATATTTTATAACATTTATCAAAGAAAAAAGATCAAGGGATGTAGATGATTAAAAAGAATAATATATGATTAGTGCAATTAATTTTCATTTGTATATACTTAATATACCGATGTATTACCAAAGAAATCATTTCTCCGTTTTGAATACAATTATTATTATGAAGTATATGAATATTACATGTTTGTTTGGATAAGAAAGATTGAATACCATCGAAAGAAATATAAGTCAATTAATCAACCATCGATTATCTATTTTTAGTTCGAATTCGATCATCTGGTAGAAAACGGGTCTAGGATAGTTGTGCGCGGACATTTGCTCGCTGTGCAGTAGGTATGCATCAGTCCCCGTTTTAAATGGTCGACAGGGCACACATTTAGTAGTTTTGAACCAACACCTACTGATTCTTGTTCTATGACTAGTAAAGCCCTCGACAGATTAGAAGACCCCTCCTATATTAGAAGACCCCCCATAATAGAAGACCCCCCTTGGATAAATGAAGCAAAAGACATATTAGAAGACCCCCTGACAAAATCGTTTTTTTTTACAAATAATTTCTGAAGTTTATTAACATTTTTAGTATTTAAGTTCATAATTGTATCTTAGATCAGTATGAACAATATTTTGCTTCATTCATGAAAATGATGCATCAGTTCGAAGTGAAAAAAGTCCTGCGAAACGATGAATAGGAAACAACTATTTAGTAAAGAATGTATTTCTTTATAGAACACATATCATGGAATCTTTTTAGGGGTCTTTTGCAGCATATTCCGAAGGAATTTTTACGGTTCTCTATACAAAAAAACTTCTCATGACCGTGGGTTATGATGGCCTCAGTGAAGAACCGTGGATGTAATGCATGAAGAGATCTTTGTAAAATAGTACCATATTAGGTGAAACTTCATTGCTTAATAATTAAAAAGCCTAATTATGAGGGATTTCTAGAAATTCTGAAACATATTCATCACAAAGGATTCTTT